GGGGAAGACAAACGCTACGCTTCACAAGCCATCCAGAATGACGTCGTCAACACGAACAAACCACACACACAATTGATCAGACGGCTATGTAGCGCGGTCTTTGCTAGAAAAAGAACAAGCACGCAGCACTAGAAGCACACACACCTTCTCCATGAGGAGATTGTTGGTGACGTTCATGACCTCCCTCATGTTGCTCGAGATCGCCGCAGGCCCCACCAGTTCCACTACCCCCTTCAGGCCCTGGCACGCCACCGCCACCACCTGGGCCTCGTGGTCGTCCGCCATGAACTGCAGCAGCAGCTCCACGACCTTGGCGCACACGCCGCCCGTCACCTGCGACAGCGGTGTGGCCTGCCCCTTCTGCCACTCTTGCTCCGGGGGGAACACCTATTAATACATGAGAGACGGGGACAAGTTGACGGGGAGATCGTGACCCTCCTCCCAGGAAACACACATCCCTTCCTCACGCCACCTCGGGCGTGGAGACGATGGCCACGCACGACTAGAGCACGCCCCTCTCCTCCGCCGACCAATTGAAATCGTGGCTCATCAGCGACCACATTATTGCGGGGCATCGAACGTCAATCATCACGTGTCGGTCCACCACTACTGTTACATTCCCTCCCACCAAAAACGCCATCGCCGTCCCTACCAAACGCGCCCTTCGCCACGACCCCCTCCTCTCGCGTTCAGAAAGCAATGCACAACGTCTGCCACCGCGCCCGCCCCTTCCAACAAAGTCGTGCGAGAAATTGCGTTGACCGCCGGACCCACCGTGTTAGCAACGTGCACCATCCACTCCAAGCACGAGCAGACCGCCGCCCGCACTTCCCCGTGCCAGTAGTCCACCTGCCAGATGCAAAAAAAAAAAAAAGAATGTCATGATCACGAAAAAAAAACGTAACTGCAAGAAAAAATAACAAAGGCAAAACCATGCCGGCTACGAGTGCACTTCTGAAGCGAAGAAAAAAATGCTGTACACGGTGTACGAAGCTCCACGCATCCAGCTTGCGGTTTCAAGAATTCGGCATGATGCTGCAATGGACAATGCATGTACCACATTTTGGGTCGGATCTCACGTCATGCGCAACAGGAACAAATCCTTGTGCCCGCCGCGCTGCCAACGCTCCTGCGGCGTTGGGAATCTGTTACGGTACCGTAACCAAACTTCAACACCATCTCGCACTCTCCCACCCTTGCTTGACGGATGCTTTCATGCCCAGGGGGGGGAGGGGGGGGG